AATCCGAACGGGCGAAGCAGGTGTCGGCGATAAACTCACCATTGGTCATACAATAGGTGATCGGACGCATGTAATCGAGAAGAAACGCGATCGTGATGGACGTATTCGGGAACGACAAAGTTTTGTTAATCTTTCACAAGGTTAATACTGGTCAAGTAAAAATAACACTACTAGTATATCCTTTCCGCGTTTAATAACTGTGGTGAAATATGAGAAGCGAAAAAAAAGCAGTGTTTTGTGTGTTTTCATCGAACTGAAATTGGGAAAAACAACCATGAATACCGAGAAACTGTTCGGACAGTTAGTGTGGGTATCTCTTGTTAATGATGGATGTTAATGGGATGCAGCAAAATACCAGATGTGCAGTGAAATCAATCCATCCTTTGTATATGTAAAATAGTTATTTATAACTACGAATACCAGAATCTCTCAGACAGTCGGTGCGGGCATCCCATGTTAATAATGTTACTGGAATGCTCTCACAAGTTGGGTGCAACTATGCCAGGTCCTGTCGTGAACGAAGCACCTTCTATAAAATTGCTTTGGGGCGGGTGGGAATCGAACCACTTTTGTTCGCGTCCGGACACAATGAGTTACCACTACACCACCGGTCCTCGTGCTCTAGGTTCTTCGGCCTGGCAGCGCATCAACTGTGTATCTGCCTTTCAAGGCAAGATACGTCTTTCTTTTCTTTTTTCTTTCTGGCGACTTCTTGGCCGGTTTTTTGCGGGTTTTCCGCAACAGATCCTTCGGTCCTGGGCTGTTTAACTTTCATTTACTTCCCGTCGCCTGTACAGTGTATCGTCTGTTTTGTGACCCGAACAAGTGGTGGTTTTATTTTTTTACAGATACCGCTCATTAATACGCTCATTCTTCTGTTATATGTTGTTTTACTCAGACTTTTCAAATATTTTATAGAAGAAGCGGAGGCATTTGATCGTGAATTCACATCGCGCGCTCGACGTAACTTGCTGGGTGGTGGAAACGATGCACAGAGTCGTTACGCAATTGAAGGCGGAAGAACGCATGGTGGC